CGAGAAAACAGGTCGGTTCAGTAGATGTATCTAGTGGAACAACAAAGATAAGTGGGGAGGATAATTTTCGGAGGTATATATTTAAGGAATGGGAAGTAGTGTTTGAAGATGACAGGAGGTTGGCTAGTCAAATTGCTTGAAGAGCTTGCTATATGCAACCTCCTGTGCAACCACCACTTTGAGGGAAGTTTCATTCTTTTTTTATGTTGGTTATATTATTTTTTGGAATTTAGTTGCATGTTAGGTTTTGGTAGGATGGTAATGTGAATATTTTCTGGTTGTTTCTGAGTTTAAGTGGGTAAATATGACCATCTAGTTTCTTCCTGTTTTGATCATGTTCTCATTCTTGGCCTTAGCGAAGTATATTTCTTAAACAAAGCATGCTGCAAATTTAATCTCATTTAGCATTTTGGAGTGTCTTTTCTTCTCTTTCATGTCAATGATGATTCTTAAGAATTAGATAGACATTGTCTAAAAAATAAGTCATGAACCATTTGCCAAGTTCTTTTAAATAAAATGCTTTGTTTACTCTTCTTGCTTTTGAAACTTAAAATTTTTCAACATTTCATAAAGTTGTTGTCCTCTTTTACCTTGATTTTTGCATTATCTTCAAAAANTGGCTAACTTGAAGTAATTCGGGCTAGGTTTTACCATTATAAGACCAAATCCCCAAATCCAAAACCATTATTTGTGACCACTTCTAATTTTACAAGAATCACTCATTTCAACGTTCACTATTCTTTAAAACTTTAGAGTTTGGAAATTATTTAGAAGTCCTTGAGGATCGATACTTGGATATACCATCCATTTTATATTACTCTGACAAGTGTGCGCTTGCATCTATAGAATTGTTACCACGCCTAGTGCGTGCGTTCAGCATAACCACCAGTCAGTGGGAAGTGGGAAAACTCCACCACTTTTCCACCATTAGTGGTGGAAAGTAGGAGGTTTTCCTCCCATTTTCATTTTCCATTTTTTCCATTTTATTTTTATTTTAATTTAATTAAAACTATTCTAATAAAATTAATAATTAATTAAATCATACTTAATTAATTACCAAAAAAAATTTAATTTAACTTAACCAAATTAACATAAGTCATTAATTTAATTAAATCATATTTAATTAAATTAATCAAATATCCCCTTAATTTAATTAAATCATATTGAATCAAATTAAACTTAAATTAATTAATCGTATTAGAATCAAATTCCAATATAAACCTCTCTCATAATTTTGCATTGAATTAAAAAATTAACCTTATATTATAATGTATCAATATACATTATGTTAATTGCATCTCATACAAATTAACTTTAATTCCCGTTAACAAATTTAAACAATTTAATTTCTTTTCAAGATTAAATGTTCTTAACTATCCTTTACGAGCTCGGAACGGGAACTAATGGACCTACAAATCGGAAGCTCCAACGATACGAGATTAATTGATTAAACTCATTAACCATATTAATCAACATTCGTTAACTGTCATTGTAAAGATCCACTCCAGTAAAGATCCACAGTTGCACTCTTCTCATTGTAGAATATTTTTCGTCCATGGATTTTGACCATTAACGATAAGTCAATCCTTCACTAGTGTTCGTAACCACACCAGGGTCAAATTATCGTTTTACCCCTGTGTTACATCTTGTACCTTAAGTACCGCTGATCCTCTAGTGAACAACCGGATTATGGTCCAACCAATAACCGGAAGTCTCTCTCGGGCTAGTGAGAGGGTGGGGCCCGTTGTTCAAGTCCTGGAGTTAGCACTCAAGAGAACACTCATCTACTTACCCTAAAGTCGGGAATGAGTGAATTTCATCTTGTGTAGTTATGTTCCCAACTCCCCACTCGGTCTCGACCCCAAAATGGTAGGCATATTGAGTCAGCGACTTGAGTCACTCTCACTCATACAAATCAAAGGACGAGCCCTAACAGGCAGGAGTCTATAACTCACTCAAGATTGACATCAAGTTACCTGGTCATGTTATTGGAATATTAATCTATTAGCTAACGGTGTTATAGCTAAAGACTAATTATTTCGTGGTTCGGTCTTATACAAACTCATTGTATAGGATACCCCCACTCGTATGTCTCCACACGAACGACCTGGATCAAGTCATTTGTAACTATTACAAAGTGTGCCGTATCTATAGTGTTACCAGGATAAGGTACCTAACCTTATCGATATACTATAGACCCTTTAGGTTACTACTGGAACATTATTCACTTGTATATCAAATATATACTGTATATATATACACTGTATATCAAATATATATGCTGTATATTAAATATATACTGTATATCTGTTATATACTGTTCCAATTACATGACATAACCTCAGATGTTAGTTTATTGGATTTGGATTAATGCAATCCTATAAATAACAACTTTATTGAATGAATATTTGTTTTATGTTTACAAGCCACGAGTTTAGGGCATAAAACCAAACATTTTGAAGAAGCGAAACTGCGACATGGCAGTAGTAGAAGATAGGTCGAATGAGTTTAAGGATAATAATTGAAAGTTGCAAGCTTCCAACGTTCCTTAAATCAAAATCAGTATGAGGGAAGTTTATACATTATTGTTATGATTGTTTACTTTTCAGTATTTTTATGTCCTGAACGTTTTAATAATTTTATTTTCTTAGTACAGGATTGAATTTCCCAAGAAAATAAGCAAGGTGAAGCGATGTTGTTACAGTTAAATGAGTTGGATGAGTTTCACCAATTTTCTTATGAGAATGCTAAAATATATAAAGAACAAACTAAAAAATGGCATGATAAGAAAATAATGGATAAGAATTTGGAACCTAGAGACTCAGTATTGTTATTCAATTCTCTAGTAAGGTTATTTCTAGGTAAGTGGAAGTCTAGATGGTTAGACCCGTTTCTAGTTGAACGTGTTTATCCACATGGAGTTCTGGATTTAAGAGATTTGGAAGGTAATATTTTCAAGGTAAATGGGTATCGAGTAAAGATATACTCTGATGAGTATATTGATAGAGGCAAAACCTCTGTACTACTGAAAGATCCAAGAGAAAGCAGTGAGAACAGTCCCTCTGTCGGTGTTGAGGGCGTTTTTATGTAAAATATTGTCTTATTTTTTCGAAATTTTTATACATTTTGTTATGCGTTTTTTTTTTGTGTGTAGATTTCATATCTAATTTTTGTTTTTGCATTTGAATTTTGCCGGATCAAGATTTTGGCTACTTCAAAATTGTACCAGACGCAATTTAAGAAAAAATGGAGACTTTCGAAGTTTCAATCAAGGATTTTCGTGGGCATATTTTGGGTTTATTTTAAATGAACTTTGGGCTATTTGAAAACATAAAAGCCTTTTGTTAAAACCCTAGGTTGTTTTAAATGAAAAACAAAAAGAAAAGCCCTAATTCCCCTCTCCATTTGCTATTTTCCTCCCCCAAAATCCCCAATTTATTTTCAAGTTTCGCCCATCAAATCTTCAAGAATCCCCAAATTTCTCATACCCCTCTTATTTTCGGCAAAGTCAGGTTAGGATCGTGGGAATTTTCCATTATGTTTTGATCAAAGTTCCAAGATTCCATGGAGGGTCTTCTTCCTCCACGCCATGCAAAAAAAAAAGAAGGGAAAGAGGAAGGTCATGGTGCCACCACCTACTCCACCAGGTTCGATCCTAGCATACAAATAAAGAAATTAGAGGAAATATTGAGAATGTCACCTAGAGCGAACCTATCCTAAGTAATGAAAGTTCTGAAAAAAGGGATTTAGAGATTAACGTTGCTAGGGTTGAAGAAGGAGGCCATAATGAAAGGAAATTAGAAGAATTTGGAAAGGTCTACCTGAGAAAAAATCAATCTATAGCTGGTAAAAATTCTGGAAATAAAGAGTTACAGGCTAATACTGATAGGACTAATGATGGAGATGTTAATGAAGAGAGGAAAAAATAGATTAGGATTAAGGGGCATGAGGATATTTGTGACAAACCAGCTGAGGATAGTCCATCTAAAAAAGCCAAGAGACCTAGGCCACTTAGAGAGGTAGAAGAGCAACTTGGAGAGGCCAAGGAAGAGGAGCCCGTTACTACCAAACCACAACCATCAAGGGCCGAAAGGGTAAGGATAGAAGTGAAAATGGCCGACTTTACAACCTGTGTACTATTGGTTGAGAAGGGCTTTGATGAGGAACATGAACCCATGCCAGATTATGTCAAACAACAACTTGTAGAACATGGTTTGTGAGACTTTGTTTGCTTCACCTACGCCTGTGTCGGAGACATATGTAAAAGAATTCTACGCGGCCATTCACCCCAAACCGAGGAGATGCCGTGAGAGTAGGGGTAAGTTGGTAAGATTTTCTCCATCGATTATTAACACTCACTATGGGTTTTTAGATGTGTTTAATGCAGTATATAATGAGATTTTGGTGCATTGAATGGATGAACAAGTGTTGGAAGCGCGTAAGCGATTTCCCTTGTTTACTAAGGTAAAAAGAAGCTAAATTGGTGTTGTTTTCTAGCGTTTTACAATAAGAATCCATATTTTAAGCTTACTATAGTGTCCAAAATCTTTCATTTGGAGTTATCTTAGGTTATGCATGCATATATGATGTTTTTACATACTTTAGAGTTGATTTCTAATGGAAATTACAATTTTGTGCAAAAAATACAGAGCAAGGCGTATAGCGCCTTCCTTAATTCTGAGAATGCCCTTAATGTAAAATGCAAGTTTTTATGTGTTTTGAAGCTTCCACAAGCCCCTCCACGTGTGTTCCATGCATTGATGTTGGCCAATTAAACAACAAACCAACTAAAAGATGTTGTAAACGGATGACTCTCCATGAATGTCCCAACCTCCTAACTACCTTGAAGTCCCTATAAATATAGCAGCTCCCATCACTTCATTCATCATCCTTAAGTGATCATTTCAACTTTAGATACTTTACTCTCAGCTTATTTACGTTTTCCTTTTAAGTTTTGAGTTGTTATGATTTTAAACTTTATTTATTTCAGGTTCATTCTTTATTTTCAAGCTTGTTATTCTTGAATTGTAAGTTTGATCTTATTCAATTAAAATTYCAGCAAGTTCTTTGATATTCATCTCTCTTTCTCTCTCATTACGAAGTTGTAATCACAAAATCTTGTGAAATCGACCGAGTATTGCTCCCCAATCTTGAAAGAGAACAAGTTAGGGTCATTCGGGTTACAACTCTACCGTTTTCAGCTTGTTTTAATTCTATTCAGCTTTTAATCGTGTCGTCTACTTCCATCAATGTTCAATTCTGTTTTTCCTTTAATGTCATGATCTAGATTATTTTTCCCAAGCCCGGTTATGGATAGTTAGCTAAAGTTTTTGAAATCCAACAAGGCAAAAGGCATTTTCCTCTTCTTTTATCACTTAAATATGCTTTCATAAGTTAAAACTTTATTTGACTGATTAATGTTTTGACCAAGCATCGATACTGAAAGAGTTGATACATTTTCACAACTTTAATGATTTAACTTTGGAGAGAAATACTTAAGACATAAAGATGTCGCTTGGGTAGCCTAGACATAGGACCTCGACCTAAGGTTATCGTTGGTTTTTATTAAATTAAGATCTTTTTTCTAATAGATATATTAGGAATGGACTTATACCTTCAAAATCACTTAGATATAAGAAGATGACGAAGTAAAACCGAAGAAAATTCATGAGAGGCACCTAGAGCCTAGTTGGAAAAAGTTGTTGTATTTTTAACTAATTTGAAGTAACTGGGCTGAGTTTATTGCATTGAGTCTTTAAATATCAAAACCAACATTATCCTTCATATCTGTTACCCCTAAATCAATTGCAAAGTCACCGATCATTAACATTTCTTATAAAAAAGACTTCAATTGTCCCTGAGGATCGATACTCAGTATACTTGTTCTGTTTTACTACTTGTGACGGGTGTACACTTGCGCTCTATCATTTATTTTCATTCCAAAATCCTAAACAGGAAGCTCATATGTAGACAACGCAAGACATGGACGGTCTCTTCCCAGGGAAAGCTTTTTAAAACCACTTGATATCAATGAACAAGGCACGATGTGGAGCTATGTGGTGAAGAACCTATTGATATCTACTTCATATGATTCCTCCATCCAACAAATCAGAGTGATGATTGTGTATATTCTAATGAAGGGCATTGAGTTCAACTTTAGCGAACTCATAAGGAACGAGATTTGGGTTTGTGCCGAGAAAATGGTTGGTCCACTTATTTTTCCTGCGCGTATAATGGAATTATGTTTGAAAGCAGGTGTAGAAGCTGATGTTGAAGATGTGGTGATGTCCAAAAAGTCGGCCACGTCCATTAGAAGAGTTCGGGGATACTTGATAGTTCGTGAGGAGGATTCTCCTATTACCGCAGCAGATCCCGATACACGAGGTGTGGTTACTAGAGAACAATACGACGAGTACGAAAAGTTAAGGCACGTATATGATCTTCTCTTCGCTACTCAACACGCCACATGTGAGTTTCTCAAGAAGCTATATGGTGATGGTGCACCTTCTCTCCCCGACGAGCTCGCGGCCGACTTGCCTTCTTCTTCACGACCTACCGGCGATGATTCTTTGCATGATGTTTAGGGGAGTATCTCTATCTCTTTTCTATGATACTAGATGTTTTGGAACTTGATCTTGAATTTTTTGTACTTTTAGTTTGCTTGTTAGGTTGTTTAGGTTAGTTTTGGTTTTGGGATAGTTTTTTGTAGGATGTTTTGCTGTTAGTAATAAATGTTGGTTGTGTTTCTGCAAGTTGCTTTGAGTTCAAACTTTGCATGCTTTCTTGTTCTAGCTACAAGCTTGTCCTTAGCTTCTTCGATGACAGCTTTTCTAAACTCTCAGCATTCTCATCTTTTTAATGAAAAGCTTTCATTTGTTATTTGTTGTTGTATCATGTCAATGAGGATATTTAAGACAACGAATAGGTGAGATTTCCTAGTTTTATGATCAAGCCATAAGTCATTTTCCAGTTTTTGTTTTGATTATAAAACTATATGTTCTGCTTCTTTTTGTCCTCATTCCTTTTATG